TAATCGCCTGGGCCAGCGCCTTGGACGAACGGTTGCCCTGAAATTTCCACCAATTGGCCATAAAACACTTAGTACTTACTCATATCTTCATACATGAACACGTTCCTCACAACTTCAGGGTGTAACATGCGTTCAATTTGCAATGAACTTCACACATTTGATTAACGCAGCCCGCCCTGAAGCATGTCTACATTGACGATATTCAGATAATACGTGAGCTAGCGCCAGCTATGGCCAACAGGAAATAAGCGGCATGCATAGGATTTGATCTGATTTACTCTTCAATCCTTATGTTGTGGTCGGCACGTTTTAACGGACGGCACGTGACGCGGCCGCAGCACGCCCGAGTTGCTGTGGACGTTGCGAGCCGCCAACGCTGCTTTTTTGCCAAGGTTTTTTTTTTAATTGTTTATATTTCATGCATAATTTCTTTTTTAATATGTTAACTGCAAAGGATGCCAATACATTAAAGTACCATGTTTAGGCAAAAATAATAATTTTTTGTTTATTCTTAACTTCAAATCAATCCCTAAAATTGCAACTTACCTCGGTGTTTTCACCCCCCTATATGCTAATCCAAAGCGATACAGACTTTTTACAGCGTTCCAGAAGCTGACATGCTTGAGCACATATCCGTCAGCATATCTCTAAGCATCCTGTCCATGAAAAACCTCACAAGAAGAAAACACACAGGCGTGGTTTGAACGCTGTTTGCTATTGCAGTTACCATTCAGATGTGCAATACTTGTTGAATTAGGTTTTTCAGCAGAGCCCGTGAAAACACTGCACAATGCACGGACCTTTTTTATGTATAAAGACGAGCTGCCTATAGAAGTGTATTACAAAACCTGCTGATGTGTGGAGGTATTACAAGCTGCTGGAATGAATTAAAACATCTTTGATCGAAACACAACCCGGGAAAGAAATATTTGTGACTTGCAGGAAGAAAAACCCTTAATTTTTTATTGCTGATGCAATCAATTCGTCAGTGTAACCCTCTAATGAAACTCTCTTTTATATGAGCCAAACAATGAACAGTTACTGGGGGGGGGGGGGTTAAATATTTGAATAAGTAACACAATGTTGTGTACACACTTGGCTCCAAACGGCTTGCTACTCTGTGAGTCATCAGGTACAAATCACAGTAGAAGGTCTGTCTCTGGTCAGGACTACACCCATGCATATGGAATCTGTGGGGAAGCAGGGCCGATTCACTGAGTGAGTTTTCTGCTTTGACAGTCTTTGGTCATGAAAAATGCATTTGTTTATTCCAAGAAATACGAGGCAGATGACATGTGGGCTTTGAAAAACAAATTCTCTATTACTACTTGTGTCTTTATTTTCTTTTTTTTTTGACTCCGATAGAAAAATGCAGTTTTCAAGAAGCTGACTACCAATTAAAATGCAGCGATCCCTCTTTATTTAAAGAAACAGAATGTGCTTTAGACCAACTAATGAGGTCACTCAACAGTCAAACCATTTGAAACTAAACACAAAGGGAACATAAATCAAGAGAGAGAGAGAGAAAGATGGGAAGCAGGATTTGGGTGGACAACCGCGCTCTCAGTGTCAAAGTTAAATCCATGCTTCAGGCATGAACTGGCTACTGTTACAACCGCTTTAATTCACTGCCTCTGTGTCCACAGTCAGCAATTTGAAATTGCTGTGAACTGAAGCAGACACAAAATAACACACAGTGTTGCACATGGCAACCCCTGTCAGTGTGCCTAGTGTAATTGGTCCCTAATGGAAACATTTAAACGTGCAGTAATTGATTTTTTGGCCACTTGGGTGCAGCTCAACATTGTATTATTAATACTGTTTAATTTGATTTAGCAAACAGTTGCTTATTCAAACATTCAGCAGTCATGGAGCAACCCTCATTTGGAGTCATATTCTTGTAACCTGAGTGAGTTCAATATTCTGAGTGAGTTCAATATTCGCTCTCTTATTCGCTGTGTCTGTAATGACGGAAATATCTGACTCTTTAGCTGCTAAATGCTCATCTATGTTCACCAGCTGTTTGCTAACTTAATCTGTTTGCTGTTTAGTGCTGAGCAGGTAGCGTAGAGTACATTTTTAGAGCTTCATTGTTGAAAACAACTGCCTGCTGCAATAAATCACTATAATAATAAAGTGCTGTTAAAGCTACAGAAGGTAAATTCTAAAAATACATTTTTGGTCATATTTGCTGAAACTTTCACTATATCTTCACTGGAGCTGCACAGTTAATTTAAATATTATTAAACATTATCTAAATAGCATTTTAAAAAGCAGCAATTTCTTTGATAAAGGTAAAATGTGTGACAAACAGCATTATAATGAACTACTGTAGTGCTGCAGAGACGCCCTGGCATACAAATCTTGTTCACCAGATGTTAGAAAACTTGTTTGTTTGGTACAGCACCCAATAAATGTCACATTATCATCATTTAAATAGTTTTTTTCAGTCAAAATTAAACTTGTGATGCAAAAATGATCACTCTGTGAATAAAATAGTGAATTACATTGCAATAGCTTTCAAAATAATCATATATCGTGCAACGATATTAGGTTCCTCTGGCAAACTTTAGAAAAAGATATTTTTCTAAAAGTTACCAACCGTAGCTTTAATGCAAGTGGAGCTGCAGATTCAGATGATAATAATTCTCCGGAGGTTCACCCCTAAAAGCAACCTCTTTCACATTATCACATTGTTATTTGATACACTATTATTATAAAAATATAAATCATAGTAATTTAAAACACCCCTGTAAATTGTATCTAAATTGCCCACAGGTGTAAATCTAAAGGTAACTATGTCTGTCTAAGTGTGTCAGCCTCATATACTATAACCCCAACGCAGTGCATCCTGGAACTGGCTCATGCCCACACAATGTTTTAGAAGCTCAAAAGAATGAGCTGTTATTGAAAATGGATGAATGAATGGATAGTAATAATGATTGATTACATGCTTTTGACTGAACAGTCTCAACAGGTGCTGTTAAATCTTTCGAGCACAGTTAGACAAAATTAGACGTCATGTCTAAAATGTTCACACAGCCCTGACTCATCACAGTTGATAGTTTTGAGGCAGATGGTGTTGTGCTTGTGATTCCATCTGGTTCCTGTGTTGGCACTAACAACCATCACAATTACATGGTGTGCCACTGACAAACAGTCCGACCAGATGTTTCTGTGACGTCACAGTGAAGATTAACTTTTGCTTAAATGTAGATTTAAGTTTCAAAGGTCCATTTAATGTAGATGATTACACCTTTTTTGATTGTTGAAGGCAGGTGGGCGATACAGCAGAAATTAATATCACGATATTAAGAATAATTTTCAGCAAAATGTAAACAAAATCCCATAAAATTATAACATTAATGTTCTGAGCTATTTTGGAGTTATTATAACAACTCATATGTACAATTTACTTAGAATCATTAATTCAGAAAAGAGAATTTTGTAAAGCACAAAAACATTTAGAGCTAAAACTATTATTGAATTGATTGTCATTGATTGAGTCCATGTTCAAGCAGAAATGTGAAACCTGTGCTTGAACTTTGCTTCTGAAAAGTTCAAATTCAATTTCCAAATCATAGTAAACTGAATACCTTTGGATTGTTGGTCAGACAAAACAAAAGCTATTTGGAGACATCACCTTGGGCTCTCAGAAATGATTAAAGGTCCAGTATCTATCAGTATCTAGTATCTTTTTCACGACACTGGAGAGGATTAAAAAATAAAACAAATGAGTAAATATATGAATAAGAAAGAAACAGCACAGGCAACAATTATGATCCTTGTGACATTTAAACAACTCAGCTGAACTGAGGCTGGAACTGAGGCATGCCCAGGATTAGCAGGGGAATACAAACAGAACTGTAAAGCAGTGGTTCCTTTTTTTTCAGAACCCGACAGTCATGTCTGATGAACATCAAAGTGCCACCAATCATGTTCCAGATGTGTTCATTGGAATTGATTTGAATCTGGATGTTATTTATATAATTACTTTATAAAACTGACTATATAAAAGGATATTATTAGATTTGTTGCTTGGTTTCAACTATTTATCCATCTGTAGCTAACCTTTTCATATAATAATAAAATAAACTAATTTCTGGATTCTTTTTCTCACTGGCAACTGCAGAAATACCCCCAGGGGTACATCTTCCCCCTTGTTAGGAATCACTGCTGTAGAGCACATAAAACCTAGTTAAACCACTAAAAGAACAGTACTTACATACTGTGTTTTGACTCCTAAAACAGACCCTTTACATGTACTGTACATAGCCAAACACACACAGTATTTAACTGGGCACATACACAGTGAGGCGGCATCAACCCATATGAATAATTCATCTCTGGTGATTTAATTATGCTCATGCCCCACCACAGACTTACTTGTGACATGCTTTAACATAGACACAGCATGAAAAAATAAAACCTGCAGCAAAATATTGTGAGAGAAACACATTATTCTCCTGAGCTTTCTCCAAGGAGAAAGAGTCTGTGCAGTGATGAACAGCAGAATACACACGGGACAAAACTGAAAAGAATACCAGCTTACTGACTATAGTTGAGACAAAATAGAAGAAGAATTATAATAAGTTGTATGGATCTATAGGAACTGGCTGAGTGAACAGACCAAAAACAGAAATAACAGTAACAATTTAGCTTTCGTCTGAACACTAAAGTAAACAGCAGCCACACTCAACATTGAATTAGTCTAATAAAAGTTTTATTTAATCAAGCATGGAAGCCCTGCCAAATTGAATTGTTGGCACAGTTGGCTTTAAAAATAAAGAACTAAACAGGAGAAAATAAGCAGCCAGCACAGCATGCTCTCCCCACACTCACATTAAAGGCCGAGTATACCAATTTACACCGAAAGGTCAGTACTACATAGATAGGTAAAACAGCACACCCGTGTACACAGAGAAATGCACAATCCATGACAGGATCTACATTTTTTCAACCGGTGCTGAATGTAAGCAAAGTCAGCTAAAATACTTTTGAAACCAGGCGCTGGTACAGCACGCACACTTTTTTATTTTTCGGACTGTTTGGAAGTCCAATTTTTCACTTGCTTCAGCACATGATAGCATATATGAGGGAATTTAACAAGCTCAGGTTGTATTATAGGAATTGTAGGATCAAGTATTTTTGAAGCTCAACTGCCCTCTGCTGCTGCTTCGACTCTGACCATTCGTGACCTGTCTCCCGTCCATCTTTCTGTAATTCCAGAAGACTTTGGGAGAAGAGCTATAAAGTGTATCACAGTGAGTTGGTTAAAACCTGATCCTCCATCATACAACATTTGGATTCAAAAAGTATGGGAACTTTACAGGATGAACAAGACCATAAGCCTCAGTGGAAAGATGTCAAGACAGCTGTAAATTGGATAAAGAAAAAAAAACTGACATGTTCAAAGTTTATTTTAAAAGTCCATCAACTTTATGGAAGTTGGATTAAGCCACTGAAGCATTCCTTTTAATTTTATACTTCACTTCAATGAGTTAAGACTTCAACTTCTATAAACTAATAAATGTTGTTTCATAAATACTACATTCACAATAAAATACATTTCAGTGTGTTATATGCATCCAGTTGCTTTAAATGTATACTTTTTATTTAGATTTATGGAGTAGCTATATTCAAAAAGTTCACCTTCTTAAGGAGTTCATTAGAGCAGCTCTGCTTTGTAACCAGCGGTGGATGTCAGGCACAGCAGGATTCAGAGACTTTGATGTGCTTTTCAAATAGCTTTGCTAAAGGCTGTCCGGCTGATCGCTTACCCCAATAAAAGCTGATCCTGACTCACAGAGTGGTGCACCATCGTCTGGAAAACATACTGCAGTATGTAACACGGAGTACCATTGTGGGATTTTTATAATTGACCACAAACATTGAGACAGAGAAGAAAATTTGCTTTGCTATGATAACTTCCCTTGTAAAGTCTTTAACCTGTATGACCTGTTTTTTTAGATTTCTTATCTAGTAGCAAATAGGCCCACATTAATGAAGCCCCTCAAATATATATTTGCATATATTTGCCGGACAGCTGTTGACAGTGCCCTAACCAAAGTGAAAACATGTACTTATGCATATTTATGTGAATGTCTGTGCTTGAATCAGAACATCACGTTCAGCAGAGCAGGTGTTGTGACAGTATGCTTACCATGCTAGCATCAATGACCTGTCCTTTCCCTGACTTTGTCCTCTCCAGCAGTGCCAGGACTATCCCCAGAGCACAGGTGAGACCGCCGCCTGCAAAGTCCGCTAACAGGTTCAATGGAGCATAGGGCTTTTCACCACTGCGCCCCAGCCGGGATAAAAGCCCTGTGGCACAAAATGTAATGACAGCTTCACTAGTGGAGACAGAGTAACAACAGAGTCTTTCAGTCAGAGAGAAAGAAAATCAATGAGTTCAGTAACTGAATGAATAAGGGTGTGATGCAGCCTGATAAAACACCAAAAACCGACGTTAACAGCCCCTGCAAACATGAATGTTCAGCTCTGACGGCACATAATAACAAACCTGACAAAGTAATTGCTTACTCCACTTTTGTTAAACTAGCATGTAACTTGTGCCTTTTTGCTGCTCTGTACTCAGCTATTACAAAAGACCTTGAAGAAGGAGTGTACAGACTAGTAACAGCAACTTTCTCAAAATGTATGCTTCAACCTTTTATTTTCCTCCGCTTTGTGGGGGTGTCAACTAAAAATGCAAACCTACTGTGGCAGATATCTCCACAAATGTTCTCATTCTTCTTTTGTCTGTATGTGCTCTACAAATGATACAATCCACCCCTAAAAAACATGTTTATCATCAGTTATTGACAGCAGCCTGATATGACTATTATATACGCTTAGTTTAATACATTTATAAGATTTAAATCGAAACCAAGGTCACTTTTTACATCAAGTCTTTATAATTAGAGGTCCATGCTGGATCCCATCCTGTTGCCTCACACCTCAATGGGCATACCTGTATCAAGCTAAGTAACATTAGATGGAGCTGTTGGTTTTCTGGAAATGGCTTAAAAAGTGTTACAATAAGAAGAGGGTTAGGCTTTCTGAAGCTAAATGAGAGAGATGGGAATGCGTAGCTTTGGGGGGCTGAAAATCGTTTCAATTAATTTTCATAGAGTGCAGCTACCTCATATGCCCAATTATCTGTGTCACCCCCAGTCGTATCTATAGGTTTGTACATATCAGACCTTGTTTAATGATATCACAGTTACATTGCCACTGTTTTATCATATATCCTTCCTGGTGACACTTTGCTATCGTCGCATTAGTAGGGCTAAGCTTTATATCTTACCACCGTCAGTTTTGTAAGTATATTTTGGGTCTTACAGCAAGCCTGAATCCCACCCCGACATGTAGCATTGTTTGGCCTCAAGTCTTCATTGCTGTTGTCTCAAGTGAGGTTGCATTTTTGCATCAACAGCCTCATTACTTTAATTTCTTTTTTAAAGCCGGGTCCTCCTTGTGTGCTGCAAAGTACAGATTGTGCAGACTAATGAGCAGCCTGTGTGGGTTAGCATTTGAAAGGCATGCTTGTAGGAGCATTAAAGTAAAATAAATTAAAAACATTAAATGATTTCATTCACCTAATTGACAGAGTGGAGGAAAAACCTTTAATCTTGTAATTTCTTACATTACAGTATTTACAACTTACACACACTGTAATTCGGTTTGTAGAACAAGTTACATAACTGAAACTAAATGAGAGTGTTGGGAAATAGTAGTAGTCAATTTATGTTCATACTTGCCTCATATCTCAAATTACCATATGGTTGGGAATGCTTGCACCTCCAGTGGTGTATATAGGCTGCTACATATATAATACATATCAGACCTTCTTTTGTGTGCTGGCAGCTATGTCTAAGTAAATTATTTCACTGTTATTATACAGGATTGGTATTGATTTGTTCCACTGTATGGGAATAGTTGGCTATAGACATGTTGTATAGGAAAGTTTCCAAGGTCATACTGCCACTGTTATGCCCACTTGATAGACAATGTGCAGGAGATTGAAATCATAAAAAAAAAAAAAGACTGACTGCACACACACAGCTGACAGCACTGTACGTACTCGAAAAAAACTGATTAAAAGGTACAAAGAGCAGAAGCCATTCCATCAGTGTGCAACATCAGCAGTCTGTATACATTAACATTTGTGTGTGTTATCATTACCTGACATGGCTAAGTAGTTGATGTCGTGCCCAGCTGCGGTAGCATAAGATCCACTCTGTCCGTATCCCGTCAAGCGAGCGTAGATCAGGCGAGGATTTTCCTTTAACAGCTCGTGTGGACCGAGGCCCAGCTTCTCCATCACACCTGGGCGATGAGAAGAAAGTCAATCTATAATACGATCTATAATTATATTCATCAAAAACATTGATCACGTTGCTTTATCAGCATCTGCTTATGTTGCCTCTCATTCAGTCTGAATCTTGTGGCGCTTTTTCAGCATTTTCGATCCTGAAATTGTTTTCTGTAAGAACCTCCAGAGATCACATCACAACAGTTATTGACATTGTTATCAAGTGATCTTTTGGGATTCAAATGTGGTTGTTGTTGTACATAAATCAGAGAGTACAGGACTGTCGCATCCAAACACAAACACATTTGTTTACATGGACTTATTATTTTAACATAAACACATTAAAAAAATGCCTGGTAATCTAATAGGAAAACTAAATTAAGCACCAATTCTTACCAGTGGTGGAGAGTAACAAAGCACATTTACCATTTTATACTTTCTATACTTTCTAATTCTATACCACTACATTTATTTAATAGTATAGTATAGTAACTAGTTACTTTACAAATTAAGGTTTTTCTATACAAAACACTTAAGGAGCTTATAAAATACAATACCTTGTTCTGCCTCGACATTTTTGTCTTGGGACCCTATCACAAAAAAGTCTAATTGGGGTCATATTACATCAGAAATCTATGAGCAGAAGGATTTCTAAGGCTGCAACAAATTATTATTTTGTTATTGATTAATCTTAAAATCATTTTTTTTCAATCTAGAAAATGTCAGAAAACATTGCAAAATGTCATTTCTTCTGACTACTAGGTGATGATATCTCTTTTTGTCCAACAGCTCAGACCCAAAGATGTTCAATTTATAATGATATCAAATAAAACAAAACAGGAAAAGCTGGCACCAGAGAATGTTTGGCATTTTTTGCTTTAGGTAAAATAATATAAATGAATCAATGAAGATGCAGGTCTAGTGATTTCTTCTCAAAATGTGTCAGCTGGTTTCATTTATATAACTGAATGAGAGTTAAAGAGGCAAAGGTATCTAATATTTCATAAAACTGCAAAAATTTTATCAGAACTCTGTTTTTTTTTATTCATTCCTGCCCTATTAATCATCTCACAACACCCCTGACATTTATCTTGTGAACCTTTGGAGGAGTTCCAACCCCAATCTCCACCAGCTACAGCAGTAAAATACTGTTAACACATTGATGAATCTCATAATCACATTTTATAATGTATCACTCACAAGGCCCATTTTTTTCTGCAGAATGAGTTCTTATACTTTTAATACTTATTGTATTGAAGGCAGGACTTTTACTGAAGTAAAGAACCTAAATACTTTTTTCCACCACTGATTCTAACTATAATGGCTGGCTGTTGGTGGTCTGACCTTTACGGTAGGGCTCGAGGACCACATCGGACTGGACACAGAGCTTCCTGAGAAGGGCTACACCCTCTGATGTCTTCAGGTTGATTGCCACAGATTGTTTCCCCCGGGCTTGTGTGTCCAAAGACATGGCAACTTTGGTGCGGTCCACACGGATCACCTTGGCTCCAAAGTCTGCCAGGATCATGCCACAGAACGGTGCTGGAGCCAGGCCCGCCAGCTCGATCACTCTCACTCCAGCCAGTGCCATGATGACAGAACTATAAAAAGGTATAACATCAGAAAGACATCTCAGTAAAATGACATTCAATGCAGCACCAATAGCAGAGGAGGTGAGGAGGGCTATTACTGTTACTTTTATAAATCAATCACTTACCGATGTTGTGCAACACCCTAAACTGGAAAAACTTAATGAGATACTACTGATAAATTCCATAAGACCTGGCAACCCTGTATACATCATATATATCATATCAAGATCGACTTGTAATTCAGAGTTGACAGCTCTGAGTAACCCAATGTGCTTTTAAAGCTAAAGGGACGCAATGTTAAAAGGTTAAAATGAGACTTTTCATTTCACCTGGACTTTTAATGAACTAATTAAAAAAAATAATGGACAAATGAATCAATAATGAAAATAATCTATAGTTGAAGCCCTACAGTAAACTGGTTTGTATTAGAACAGTTAATCATTCTGGCTTTTATTTTGAAGGGTAGAAACACTAAAGACAGTAGTTTTATTTTTTTAATTTCTGAGTAACAAATGCCAACAAAGTAAACACATAGACCCCCTGAGAGGTGTAATAGCTTGCAACAGTAGGGACTTTGAGTCAGTATACTTGTACTTTGCTTAAACATTTAGATTTTATACAACTTTATACTTCTACTCCACAACAATCGAACTGCAGATTCAGATTAATAATACAAAATATAATCAACAACTACAATATTGTGTTTTATTCACTGGTTAAGATACTGAGGATAATTCACAAGATATATAGTAATTAAATGTGGCTCCAGCTTTACCAGCTGCAACATTAAAGTGATGTATGTACACATATTATTTTAACATAATGATACAATGTACTTTATTCTGAAATAGGCCATGGTGCACAGTGAGTACTTTTAATACTTGAAATATATGTTAATGCGAATGCTTTTGCTGAATTCAGTGTGGTACTACTTTTACTTGAGTAAGATATCTTAGTACTTGTTCCACCACTGCATTTAGACTTTAGACTCTAAAATAAAGTAGCTAAGGTGTACTTTGTCTCGGTTTCAAAGTCCAAAGTACATAGAGGAGAAGTGATACCAGCCTGTTTACAGAGTCTGTAAAGTAAAACACCAGAAAAATGGTTTATAAAATACAAAATGTAGTACTTTGTGTCAAGTCTTCTGGTAGTGAATGGACGTGAGGCATTGCATCAAGTGTTACTGACATTAATAACAATGGATCAATGACAAGCCAACATAGTGGGCTAATATCAGTGTATGTAAACACGATGGGCGTCAAAACAACACTCCTGAAGAAGCTGCAGTGTCTTGTTATGCTGCACCAGTACACAATAGTTTATTTAAAGTTAACTTCTAACCTCCAGGTCAAGCCTACCTTTGCTTTCAGGTCGAGGACGGGACAGCTCAGTCGCTACAGGGGCTCTGTGTGTGGAGGTTGGACAGCCGTAAGATGTTAACGAAGCCCGACGGCGGATCACATGTTACAACAGCAACAACCAACAACAAAACCATTAATATAAAGTAAAGAAAAACACATACCGGTAATACGGCTAATACTGGTTAAGCAACAGCTTCTGGGTGTTACTTTTTTTGTTAGTGTACCCCCTGTTTTGATATCGAGTGCTGACTCCGCCTAGCCGGTGTACGCTGGTAGTAAATGTAAGCAAACGCTGTTTACAAGCTTCTTCCTGGTGACCTCAGCGCGACCGGCGCAAGATTTCTGGGAAATTGAGTTTTATTTTAGTTTATTTATTTATTTTTAGTCCCTGGGAGATAAGTAACACTTTAAGCAAGACATTTTTTATTGGTTGTATAAGCATAAAGTACAAGGCAGCGTAATTCATAAGATGAGATAAGACGTTCCTTTATTTATCCCCCATAGGAGAAATTCAAATTTGGCACAGCAGTATGGGGGAATATAGTGCAAAGAGAATAAAAAGGGTAAAAATACTATATTGTTCTGTTTTTATTATTATTTTGTGCCATACAGGGACACTTAGTGAATGGACTGTACCTTCTCGTCTTCTGACCACTCTAAGCGCTTTTATAATAATATTATGCCCCACTCACCCATTCACACACATTCATACAGCGATGGCAAAGGTTGTCACAACCAGAAACTAACATTCATACACATTTATCCACCCAGTGCACAGCATTGGGAGTAATTTGGGGTTCAGTATCTTAGCTCAAGGACCCAAACCACCAACCTTCTGACTAGCGGATGAATCGCTCCTGAGCCACAGACGCCCAAATGTATACCACCATATTTATGTATTCATGTTATATCCTACTTTACATTCCTGAGCCTCAGCCAGTCACAATCCTTCACATTCAATAATTAAATCCCTACGACACTTCAGCTCCTCCAGTTGTTGCCCCTTCACCTAATTGGAACGCCACCTCCTCCTTTTAGGGGAATACCATGACTTAATATTTGGAGGTCATGATCCTCATCTGTGACCTTCAACCAACACGATGTTTCCAGACTGGACATTCTCAACATCTTATCTGAACCTTGATATTCCATCCACCAATATCACAAACAGGATGCAGCCCGGACAAAGTGCTCAAACAGCTCCCACCAATCTTCAGGGAACAAAAGCTACTGCTGTGATAAACTCATGTTATTCAAGCAGCTAAAACTGAAACTTAACCAATCATATCAAATTCTCCCAGGCAATTACCTTCTGCAAGACTGTACTGAGTGAACTTCAAGGAAAGGAATAACCTGTTGCTTTTGGAGCAGCTGTGTCAGGGTGACAAAACAGTTCAAAGTGTTGATTGAAGTAGGGGTCCAAAAATAGTTTTTGGTCTTTTACAATGTGGTGAAGAAAGTGTAATAATCTTCTAGAGGTTAGTGGTTAATTACATAGTTTATTTGTGTGAGCTAATATGTAATGTTTTAGGGTTTTTTTTTATCAGAATTTTTTTTGGGCTTTCATTGCGTTCAATCAACAGCGACAGCCAAAGAGTAACAGGGAAGGTGGTAGAGAGACAGGGGACGGCACGCAGCAAAGGGCCACATGGCTGCTATAGCAAGATCACAATATTGAGCCACTTTAGAGATTTTATTTCATGATGGGAAAGGAAATGTGAAAAATTAGGCGCAATAAATACAGTTTTTGTTTACTCTGAACATCAAGACACACGCTAATACAATATGTATAATGGTTGTGGTTTCTGTACAGTCTTAAACATCATCAGCGTTTTCATCAATGTTGACCACTGTTTTCATCTCACTTTTAGCATGCTAACATTTATGGGACTGTTATTAGTCTTACAGCTATTTAGCAATAAACCAAAGTACTGAGGAAATTTATATGTTGAACCTGATGATATATATAAAGTTAAAGGACCATAAAAAATCACAAAAACCACGTGTATCTGCACCAAATTGCATGCTAATCCATCCATGAAATGTTGACACATTTCACTCTGGTGTACAAATTTCAACCTGACGGTGGCGCTAGAGGGCACTTCAGGGGATTACTAAAGTTAGCAAAACATCTTCCTCTGGGGAACATGAACGTCTGAACAGCATCCATCCAAAAGCTGCTGAGATACTCTGGACCAAACTAGTGAACCAGTCAAAACATTTGTCAGAGGTCAAGGTTAGACCTGCCAAATTCACTACATTGAAAACTCAACAATCATGTGAATTGCAGCAATGTGGAATTATGTCATAAGACCTGCAGTTATTCTAAAAAAAACTCTCATACAAATGAGAAACCACATGGCAAGTTTTTTTGCGGATTCATGCACCCCCCTATCCCACAGCCACCTTGATATTAAACATTTAATCTATCAAAGGGGCAAAATCTGTATTAGCTAAAGAGCTTGGCAGGTGCAGTGGCTTTCTTTCTCTGGAAGCCTCCTCCAGCTATGACCTCCTCTCAGCAGATATTAGTCAGATAGCCCGGACACACTGAAGCCAATTTATATGATCAGAAATAGTCTGTGCTTAAGCTTCAAGTGGCCTGGGACCAAATCCTGTCACCACTTTCTTTCTCTTCTGTGTCACACTCAGTATTAAATGTTTAAATTCCATCTGAAGTTTCCAAGACATCCACTGCCACGGTATGAACGAGGAAATGATCATAGAAAGTGGATAAAAGCATCAAATATTAGATAAAAGCCCTGTGAAACAGCAGTTGAACTCATCAGAATAACAAACGTTATTGTTACAGGTAAATTTGCATTTATGAATGTGAAATTTAGCTGCCAGAAACATCAAATGGGTTGAGAAGAAAGTGCTTTTTTTGTTTATTGACCTGTTAAAAAATTAAACAGCACACTTCCTACATATCTGATGTTGACATGGAAACATCCAAAATCAACACATTTCTCCTGTTTATGTATAAGCAGTGCACTGTTAATAAAATATACAATCAATCAGAATCTGTCTTATTTTGAGAAAACAACTCATTCCTTAAGCTCACAATACTTCCCCTTTAATGTGGGAAATGTCAGACACAGCTGTTCCATCAGGAAGCAATAAAAGATTATGTTAAAGAATCCCACTGATAAGGAGTATGGATAGCTTTAATTATTTCATCTCATTTCCTTTTGGTGCATCAGCAGATCCAAGAGAAGTGAGCTTTACAGGATGAGGGAAATGGCCTTTTAAAAATGTTGTTTCTGCTGAAGAAATAACAGACCATTACCTCTCACAAGCCCCTGGGTGTTACAGAAAATTACATTTCTTTCTTTTTGAAGAAACTCCCTGTAGAGCAATTAAGCACTATCTTCAATATGCCTGCTCACCAGTGTATTCTTTCAAAGCATTTATTCAAGGAAAAAGATTTATTTACATACCACTGGATCCTAATGTTCCAGATTGATTAATGTTCTGTGAAATAATGCAGTGTTTATATATTTATGACTCAGCGAGAAGCACTCCAATGAAAGTTTAATTTGGCCAATAATGCAATTGCACAGTATGATACAATAAGCACACAGGAGAGCTATGTGTCCAATTTAATATCTCTTTTGCATTAATCTAGCCACTGTCAT